CACCCACACCCATCTGCCGCAGCTTCTCTCCCAATAGTGGAGGCTGGATGGGGTTAAAGGCACTGGGGAAATCAAAAAAAGTGACTCTCAATGTGCCCCCATCCAGATGTGACAAAACTCGCTGCAGCATGTAAATAACAGCGTCATCAACCCCCAAATGTGGCCGGTAGGCAAACTGCAGAGGATCAAGAGACGATCTCACCTGCGACTCAAGATGGACCAACACCAGCCTCTCCAGCACCTTCATCACATGCGATGTGAGAGCAATTGGACAATAGTCCCCAAAGCCCGATGGTACTGGTTTCTTGGGTACCGGAACCAAACAAGAAGTCTTCCAGAGAAGTGGCACCTTCTCCAGACTTAGGCTCAGGTTGTAGAGGTGTTGGAGAACAGAGGACAGCTGTCTGGCACACACCTTCAGCAACCTGGGGCTAATGCCATCTGGACCTGCCACCTTTGATTGATTTAACCTCTCCAACTGTCCTCTCACCTGGCCAGCTGTTACACTCAAACAAGATAAAGGGTGCTGGATGGGGGGATGGGTATCCCCAGTAGGGGGGCAAACTGACATCTGAGGGGCCGAGTTCACCACAAAAGGCAAAGAGGCGAACTGTGAGACACAACACGATAAGACTGAGAAAACAAACAAAAGTAATGTGCAAACAAAAAAAGGAATATGCAAATGTAGGCAATGGAAGCAGCTGCAAATTCATTTAAATTGCAGGCTAATGAGTCAGCAGCATCTGCGTTGAAGGCAAGGAGCTGCAGTTGGCGTGACGTCACCCACTCTAGGTCGGAACACCGCAATATACACTGATGTAAAACCTAAGAAGGCCTGAAACTCTCTAGCTGGAAGTATGAATCATACATCCGGTATAAAGAGGAGCAAAAAATAAACAAGAATGCTGCAGTCTTCCATTTTATATCTTTGTTGACTTAGTGACTTTGAGATGCATCATCTATAGACACACAGTACAAAACTACCCCGGCATTCACTCAGGAGTTCAAACAGGCAGTGAAACTCAATAGATGAAAATATGAATGGTTAAATGCAGGGGAGGGGAAATATCTGAAATAAATGACCACCCATTTAAGCAAAAACGACATCACAACTGATCAAGTAATCTATTGAACTGCAAACATGCACATCCAGAGAAGAAACATAAGGGATGAAGAGAGCTGAGGAGCGAGTAAAAGAAAAACATTCTGTAGTAAAGAGCAAAAAGTAATCATGATAAGTTTGCAGCAAGAAGGATTTAATTGAGTGGATATAGTTTTGTTTTTTTTAAAGCACTACAGAACAAAAATTGAACCCTTTGCGATCAATTACTCAGTTTTATTTTATTTAACAATGTTTATTTTGTATTCAATATTTTAAAACCATCCCATCTTACAGAACATTTGACCTTACATCTTTAACATTTAATATTTACATGGAGTTGATGCAGGTAACGTATAGTTTCATGTGACAATTGGACTTATAACAAAAATACAACAATTAATACAAGTACCTTGACAGAAGCTGGATACAAACCCAGTTCATTACACTACACAATGCAATGTGATATACTGTATAAAGAGCTGCAACATTTCCCACAGAACGCATATATACACCTTAAAAAAGCATATCATACACTTCTTGAAAACCACATTCACATTCCTTTGGTTTCATTCATCCTCTGCGTTTAGAGCACCGACATCCACTTGGTGCTCACTCTAGAAAAACAATGTAGAGGCAAACACAACTTGGGCTTTTCCATAAACAAAGTTAGAAAAGCTACTTCTACAGACAGGAAATTTACATGAGCCTGGAATCATACAACCAGGGAGATTCTAGTTTGAATACTCAAATTGTGAAAAAAGTCAACGTCAAAATCACGGAATATATCAAACAAGAACCAGGTCCTGTCCAAGCTGGGTCTGTATACATTAGTGCAGTACATCCTCAAAAATACATCTAATATTGCTATCCAACATGTGATGACGCCACTTGCTGCAGCGGGTCATGGCACTTAGAGTTTATTTGCTGTAGCCCTTGCATACATAATAGTCATTATTTGCCTTGGAGAAAACAAAATAATTTAATAACAAAAACTAACAAAAACTTTGCAAAGCACTAAAATGTCACATGCAGCTATTCAGGGCTTTTATCACTTACCTGTATTGCTTACTGTTTCAATTTTCCTAATAGTTCCATGGATCATGGAGTTAGAAAAAGATTATAGTCACCGAAATATATTACATAAGGCAGTGTTGAAAAGAGTTGGAAAGAGAAGCATCGCTGATGCACTGCTTAAGAAAGCTAAGGAAGAACCGGGTTTTATAGCAACTCTATCTCCCACTGCTGACTTGGCCTCTCCTTGTTCTCTGGCATTATCACCACATGGTCCTTGTCGTACGTTTTGCCACCTAAAGAAAAGGGAAAATCTTGTTGAAAAAGTTCAAGTCATCATGATAACATCACAATGATGATCTAGAGAAGCAAACATAAACAAGCTAGCAGAAATTGTTAGAACTCATTATTTTAGGAAATTCTTTTTAAGAGTCTCAAAAAGTGATATCAGTTAAACATGAGACACTATAAAATACCAGCCCTTACTTTAAAAGAGGGAACTTAACTTGCTCTTTCAACTTTGCATTCATATTTAAGAAATTGCCCAGTGGCTGTCTTTTGTTCTTCTTCTGCAATCTTCATACCTTTGACATCCAGAACCATGCCAGTGAAGGTAAGGCTAGTGATGAGGCCTGTCATCTGGGCTGCCCAGGTCTGGATAGGCTGCCGAGTCTCTGTCCACAAAACCACCTTGGCTGCTGGCTCAATGTTGCCCATCACCTGAAGACTCAAGGTCTGGGACAACTACAGAAGACACACACAGCACATGATCAGACCAGCTCAGGTGTTTGTTTGCTAAACCCTGCCAATGTTAGATCCTTTTGCATTACCTTGTTTTTGATCAAACCATCCTGATAGAACCAGATGTCATTCATTGGCTCCCCCTCAGGTGTCACCACTACACGTCCTGATTTCATCTCCTCCACACCGCCCTGGACGGACATGAAGTGACCTCTGTCTTTGTTCTTAATACGGAAAAAGTGGCGCCTCTGCAGGAGGTAAAAGACCCAAATATTTTGTTGTTACAGACAAAGATCAGTGGAGCCAGGTGTTTTGACCCGATGCAAATAAAACATTTTATGACTGAGCAGCCAAAGGGAAGGTTCTGGACCAGTGCAGAGCCAGTCATAGTCCAACCTTAGGGCAGAGACACAACAAGCTAACATGGAAGAACTAGCAGTGACAAAGGCCGACTGCTACATCACCTCAAGTCGGCTTTGCCTAGGCCAGACGGGTTGAAAAAGTAACACTTGAACACACCACACAATCTACAGCCAATGGCCAACTAGCATGTACTTTATGTGCCTGCATGACAGAAAAAACTCCACCACCAGCAGGTGGCGGTATCTCTATTTGCCTTTCAGAAAGGGAAGCTAGAAGAGCCAGAATACAGAAGTATAAGCTATAAATAAAGCACCTCTTGTTCAAAACAGCTGCTGTTTAAAGCTGGTTCTAATTGAGAATATGTCTGATATGAAGTTGCAAATGACACTGCCGTTCTCTGCCCTCGGCCAATGCCGACTGAACATGTCGCACCAGCTGAAAAGCCGCCGACAGGGGCCAACTACTGCCTTTATACAGTACACGTAATGCATTCTTTTCACAACAGTAGGGATTTATCCTACAACTACAATGAACAATCTACAGCTTTTCCTAATGTTAAAACTTGGTTCCAGCCCAAAGTAACAAGAAGCATTTACTCTTCAGCTTTTCAGTGCCAACTATTTCACTGCTACACAGTGTGTCCTGCAATAACTTTTCACTAATAACTGTTAGAATACATATTTAGCCTTTTTAGGTCGGTGTGTGTGTGTATATATATATAGGGTATGTCGCTAAAAGAAGTTGCTGAGATGACTTGTTGACAAACCTGTTTGATTGGGTATATTGAGCCAATAGTGTGTAGTGCGCTAAACTTTGGCCAGTTGGTGATTTCAATTGGTTCCAGTAGAAACTGGCGCCCCCTGTAGTTGCTGTGTTCACATATCACCCAACTGCAAAGAACGAGAGACAACATTAGACTGTGTTTTGTGGCTTGATGGTCACTTAAAGCAAGCAATTAGATATAGTTTAATTTGGATAACAGCTGATAATCGAGATGTTTTAATTATAGTTTTATCTTTAAACTCTCTCTCTGTAATAAAAAGCTGCCACACACAAGCAGAAACACAGACCCTACTACTCTCTGACATGCATCAATACAAATGTACCAAAAGCCCAAACAATCTCCTCGAGCACAGAGACACGTACTTACCAGCCGCTGTTGACTCTGACAGAGAGGATGTGGTTGTTGAAGCCCTCTTCAACCATGTTGAGGATCTCCGTCTCTATGGTGATTTCTCTGCCCTCCAGACACTCGAGGCCAAACAGAGAGATGGAGGGAACTGAGAACAACTAGACAAGGAGAGATGGAGGTTCAGAACAAGACAAAGGAGAGAATACAGAAGATTTCCAGCAAGTTATGAGCGCTTTCTCACCATTGGTACGACCTTGACCGAACGAACAGTGGAGCCAGGGAGGCATCCCATACTGGTTAAATTTGGATAGTCTCCTTCAGATAAGACGTAGACGTTCCCAGAGTACTGTTTACTCTCATAGAGTGCCCAGCTGAAACAGACATGCATTTGGTTTTATAGCTGATTTTGTATTTTAACCCTCCCTAATCTCATAACTATTTTTACTACTTCATCATATACTTTGTTGTTCAATCATCTACTAGTGGCCTTTTTCTACCTTAAATTCTTTGCTTTTCAGAAACTTGTGCCAATTATTTCTCCATCTCCTCTGCTATTTATAATGCTTAGGTGATGGTTCCTTACCTTCCCCTTGCCACTCTGCAGGAGTTGGTCAGTAATTTTTCTGACAGTGCTTCCTGGTTGTTGTCAAAGACGTGACACTCGCCCTGGAAGTCTGGCTCAGAGTATAGTAGTATCTGAAAAGAAAAGAGGTAAAGAAAAGGGAAGTGAGAGATTTGATTAACGCCTTTACAGCTTTCAAGCCTTTCATTCTTCTAATTATTTTTTATTTTTGTCTTAACTGGATGCAAATGTGCTACTACTGCTGCTCTGTCCCCATAAAGCTGTCAGAGGTAAAGTTTTGGCAACTAGTCTTCTGACTAAAGGTTTGTAACGTTTGCAGCATGTGTTCTTAGGTCTACTATTTAATATTTCACATGCAAGATTCAATAAAAAGGGCCAAATTGAGTACAAATGCCAGGATAAATATTGAGGGCACCGGTTTCATGGAGCATCCTGTGCAAAACACAGGGCCTTACTGTGCATCAGCGCCATATGAACCAAACTTTGCCAGATGTTTAACATTTGCTCTCTATGGTTTGACTGACACCAAGGAGAGCAAACAAAAAAAGTATTGTGGCCATACGATAGTTCATATGTCTCAATAAACCCTGCTTATGTTGCTGTTCAGTTGCTTCACATTTTCTCTGAACTCAGCAGCAAACCCCACACACTAAATATAATATATATACTATTTATTAGTGAAGTGTATAACAGGCAAAACTAAGAATGTCAAGACACTATATTCACCTCATTCCTGGTCCTTGAGCTGTCACCCGGCGCCTAAAAACACCACAAAGATGTGAGTAACATTACAGCCACCGGTTCACTCATCAAATCTCACTCATATGTTTGTGTCCCTCTCTTCAAAGCGGCCCTCACCAGTAGGATGGGCTGCACTGAGCAGATGCGATCATCCAGAGAGCCCCAGTCAGCACAGTTATTATAGAAACCCTTCTCTAAGATGTACTGCTTCCCGGAGAAGTCCACATGAGAGTAGGCCACCCATCTGGGGAAAAGGAACAATTACCTGATTACTGCATTACAGTACCACTTAAACTGTTGATAAATGTAGTATCCATCAACTTACGCGCCACTGACTACTTGAATGGAGCGTGTGGAGGTTTTGTACCCAAACGCCTCAACATCAGGAATGGCCTCTGTCACCTCAAAGGGGTTGTCCTCTGCTATACCCTCCTGTTCTTCTGTCTGTTCAAACATCACTATCAACGGGTCTGTCAGGTCCTGGAGAACAGCAAGAAAATGGGCTCAGCTGTCAATATTAAGGGGAGGAGTAGTATGGGGACTCTTGTTAACCTTAGACAGCTGGAATTTAAACAACTGTTTCAGATAACTCCAAAAATGACAGTGGCAATTACTTGGGAGATGGGAAACATGTTCTGTTTGAAAGCAAGCATAGCAGAAACTAGAAAAAAAGCATTTTCCCCTTGAAATTGTGACTACATTTATATAAATATTATTATATATGCAAGCCAAAATGTACACATAAATCAGGTGCCTTCTTGAGGAAAGTTTCCACTGTGTTCAAGTAAATTCTGTCATTACTACCAGATGCCACTGCCTTTTCCTTACTGTTTTGTGAATATGTTTCTACTCTACACTGTTAAAATAGTCTTGAGCAAATAATGTGCAGAATGACAGTTTCAAACAATCAAACCTGTGGCACTTGGTATTGTGATTACAAAGGAAGTTTATCAGAGTGGAGCGCACAGTGTTTTAGATAGGCCTTTGATGATGTATGCCACAGAGCTAGGCCATTAAAGTAACAACAGTAATGTATGCAAGCACGCTAAATAAAACTAGGGATAAGGCTTGTCATTTTCTATATTTTAAATACACCCCATACAGAGACTAAAACAAACAGTGATTTGCTTGTACCCACTGTTAATGTCTGTCAATCTGTCAGCCCTGGATTATCTTACTCGTCTGTGCATTAGACCTCTATTGTTGCTCAAAATAAATAAACATTTAATAGAAACACCATACTGTACTGGGTGACGTTTCCTCATTATGAAACTTAAGACTGTGATGTTTGCTAAAACTGTTGCCCCAAAGGCTCCGAACAGCCTTAAATTTGCATCTGAAGTAAACACAAGTCAAGAGCACAAGATAATAAATATTCAGTTCTGATGTTTTGTAAAGAAGAAATGTGTCACCCAGTGTAGTGGTGTGTTTCCCTGATGCATTTATAAATCATATTTGAACAACACGGAGGAGGTCCGTGGCACAGATGAGAAAGCTAATCCAGAATTGACAGACTGATAGACATTAACAGTGAGTAGAGGCAATTCATTGTTAGTTTTAGTCTCTCTATGGGGACGTGTTTAAAATACTGTTAAAACAGAAAATGACCAGCTTGATCCTTTAAGTAACAAAGAGATCAGACTGGTGCCATGCAGTTGCTACCGTACAGGTTCACCAACAGAGGTATGACCAAAAATTACTGATGCACATAAGCAAAGTCAAGTCATCACCCACAATGTTTCTAATTCACCCTCCACCCTTTTTATAAAAACAACCTCCAGGCCAGTGAAGTTGCAGTTTGCTCACACTGGGAGCCACACCTTCCTTTTGACTAACGGAGGATTTGCAGTAAAAACATACAAATTATTTATCATTAACAAATATTATTTGATGCGAAATAATCCTTATGAGGGCAACTTACTGCTCGTATCACCCTAACGGAGCGCAGCTCAGCATCACAGCCTCCCCACACCCTCCAGTCGTGGTACTCGCCCTCCTCCAGTAGGTACTGGTGGCCTCGGAAGGCTTCCTTCTCGTAGCCCACCCAGCTGCAGTAAGAGAAGCATGCAAAGAGTTGAAAAGCACTCTTATTTGATCCCGGTCCAACTATTTTAAGCTGGGAGATGTTAGTGATTGGCTTTCTGCCTCATGTACTACCCCCCACTCGAACTGTGTAGCAGTAGTATTTAACCAAGCTCATTAATGATCGTCAAGGTTCAGTGAAAACAAACATTACAAAGCAACACTCACATTCCTCCCTGTACTTTAAGGGAGCCAACACTGTACATAAAGACAGGATGCTGCCTGTCTGTTCGGGTCATGAAGTCTCTCATGTTAGTGGTTATGGTCCTCGATTTACCAGTGAAGTACGCCTTCTCATAGATCACCATCTGGAGACAAGTGGTAATTAAATTACAGTCATGATGCACTGAAACTACACATCACTGCTTCTAGATAAGCAACTGTAGTGTGAGTAAAGTACAATATTGCTTTGATTTAGCAACAGTGAGTGTACTTTCTTACCTTTGGTTCACTCATATTCTCTACTCTCGGTTCACCCTGTGTGAGAACGGAAACACGTTCACTTACTGCAAACACTCAGGGGATGTACTTGTATACAGAAGTAGTAAAGAAAAGAGCTTGTAAGTACTTCTAACAACGCAACATACTATTTTGAGTGGATGTACTGATCCCACATAAGGCTGCTCCACTCCCCAGGCTGCAGGGTTGGAGTATCCTCCAACCTCCAAGATACGTGGGACACCCTGGAAGAAGGGCTGCGCAAAAACAAGCCATCTGAGGAACAGAGAATACGATGGGAGTGAAAACAGTGAAAGAAACTTAATTCTGATCTGTTGAATAATCTACAGCTCAAATCAGATTAAATAAAACACTAATGACAGGATTTTAATGTGAGAAAAATTCAGTTTTTACAAAATAATATTGATGCGTGCATGTTCTCAGAACTCACAGTCCGGCATTGACGATGATGGACTTTGCTTTGACAGGGAAGCCAAAAATCCTGGCATCCTCAGAAGTGTCTCTGAAGATGACTTTCTTCCCCTCTGCATTTTCCTCTGGGAAAAGACAGATTTCTGGGACACTATAATCCTGAGTGAGGACAGAGAGCATCCATTAATGTCATGAAATTAAGGAAGTACATTGTAATGTTGCAGCCTGGAGGGAACTGTGAAAACATGTTCAGTAATTGCATCACTAAACATAAGTAGAGACAAAACATATCTCAGAGATGAAAAAAGGGTTTTCTCAACAAAATTCAGCTGCAGTAAAACAGATGACTAAAACCTGCAATATTAAGCTCTTAAAATAGAAACAAACATTTTAAGATGATCAAGAGAAGATGAAACCTCAAATAAAAAAAAAATGCAGACTGAAGAGCTTACAAAATGCCAGTATTCTCCAGTAAAGTTTTGTTGACTGATGAAAAACAACAATAAAAATCTAGGGAAAAATTTCAATGAAAAGAGTTTCATACCAAACAATAGTAACTTGGTCATTTTTTAGTTTATACAAAAAGCCACTCCTTAAAATATGACATCACATTCCAACATGTGTTTACACCCATTTTGACACTAGGTGACACCACTGAGTCAAGAAGCAGGCAGTCACTGAAAAGCATTGTACATTATCACTTCTTAGTTTAGGGTGTGTGCCAACTATTTTTGACACCAATCAAGTACAAGAGAGTGAGCGGTGCTTCTCGTACCCTGACAGTTCTTCGTAAAGAACCGATGATGAACCTCCCGGCTGGCTTGCTCTCTGTCTGCTCATCACCGTCCTCCTGTCTATTCTGCAGCTGCCCCTCTGGAGGGTTGAAGGGGTAGGTGAGCTCTATATCTCCCTCATCCAGGGCAATCTTTTCCCCTTTGAAGTTTGGTTTCTCATACAGCACCCATCTGTAAAAGAGGGGGAAGAAGGGGCCCAAGGTTAAACATTTCTACTCTGAAATATAGCGGGGTAGGAGTAGAAAGCAGCATTACATGAAAACACTCAAGTACAATTAATTGTATTTAAGCCCAATACTTGAGTAAATATACATTATGTCACTGTGGGTGCTGCTTAAGCAAGATAAATGTTTAATAAACAGAAACTGGATTTAAATTCAGGGTTAATGGGATACAAACACCACTTTAATAGAACACTTTAAATGTAGTCAATGGGGAAGTGTGTCCAAAACATTTGAGCTGTAGCATCGCCTCTGGTTTGTGTAGAGTGTGATCCACAGGATTATTACGTCACTGTAAGACGCCATACAAGGACTAGCCTGGGGTATGCACAGGCCACAGCATTACCACCAGGGTTATCCCAGGTTCAAACTGTTGGCTGCGTCTGATTAAACATTCCACATCTGAGGCAAGTGTGTGTTTAAGCTTGCATGTGGGTGTGTTAACTGGAGGTATCTGTATGGACACAGTGCATCAATAGCAGTTTTGTTTTGACAGTACATGTTATAATTACTGAGAGGTACTATATACTACAGCAAGACTGAAATGGCAAAAACAATCTGCAGAAAGTGACGAGCAAGGAAAACTAAAGTTTGATCCTGGTCCCAGCTGCTATTTTTTCATGACAGTGGTATCTTGGGACACATATGAAGCAGGCTTATTTAGTAGATCAGCTGGTAATGGTAACATTTACTCTAGACAATGTGTGTGTATTCCCTATTAAATACTGATTCTAAGCAGGTTTTTATAGTTTGTTGTATGTTCACAAAAGAATGTGACAAAATAAAATATACTTAAAACAGATCAGGATACAAACTGAAACTGATTTGAATGCGTCTTAAATCTAAATGATTTTTTTCAATTCTACCAGGGGTTTTTGCCTCACCTGGTCCATAGCTTTGGCAGCTAACATTAGGGAACTGTAGCTTTTTATTGCTTTGCAACTCACACTGCTAAGTCAGTTCACACTTTGTGACTCTCCTCCACTTGCTACTGTTAGTAGGTTTAACATTATCCTGTATTTGTCACCTGTGGCTGGCATTCAGAAAAAAACAAAGTGTAATTTGAAATGTTCGGAAAAACCTTCATGAAATAACAGCCAAAAAGTTCACTTGGACAAGTAGTGTATAACATACCTACTGTATGCAATTAATATTTTATCTTGAATAAAACAAAGCTAAAGCTAAAGACTCCATACCCAGTAGTGTTTTAGGGACAACTTGGTCTAAAGCGCATGTGTAAATATGACCAGGGTGTGTGGAGTTAAACCACTCACCCTCCTCTGATGACCCTAATAGAGATGGTTTCCTGCAGCTCCCAGGGTGTAGCATCAATGATATCACTTCGCACTTCTATCCTTTGGCCGCACATCCCGGGTCGGTCAAAAATATACATCTAGAGAAAACACGGGCAGATGTAAGAACAGATAATAATAGAAATCCATTATTTTGCTCATTTCAGCACAGTGGATGTTTGTGAAAACCGGCTGCTCCCTCAGCAGCACTTGTTCTTTGAGCAAAGGATAATCAGCTTTAAAGCTCTAGAAATTCCATCATTTCTCAAATAAAATATGGTAATCAGAAAGTCAAATTTAATATTAGAAGTCATTTAGTTGGAAACTGAAAATGATAAAAATGGTAGGATGAATAATATTACAATAATGACAGAATTACTGCAGGCAAGAGCTCAACCTGCTGAAGAATTCTAAATTAAAGAATGGAGCCAATATCATCTAAAGACATTATCTTAATTCCATATCATTCACGAATCTTAAATTTCATTCATGCCCCTTTAAGAATATTATTAGCACTTGAAACATTAAATACAGTAGGTGACTGAAACTTTGCAGAAATAAAAGGAAAACATATTCAAAATGTGGATCAATAATAATCACACTCCCATATGAAAACAACAACACCCTTCCTCTAGGAAGTTCAGTGTTACTTGATCAAGTCTGATTCTGAGTGCACCAGCATCTTAAAAAATCCTGCTCATATCTATAATACAGACATGTTCTCATCCATCTAGGCATGAGGACCTGAAGCACAGAAGAGTACCCAGAGGTTTAACCTCGATGCTCTTCAGCTGCATGCAGGAGCAGGCCTGATATAAAAAAAAAAAACAGTAATAAAAAATTTAACCAGCCAGGATCAGGGAAAAGCATGTAGCCTCTTGGCACCAGTCAGTTCAAAGATGTTATCCACCAGGTTTTTGATTATCTAGTGCAGGACAAAAGGTTTAACCAGTCTGCTACTTCTACTGAAAAAAGGTTATGAAATGGCAGGTATGCAAGAAAAAAAAAGTCTCAAACTTCTTTATTGTCATGCAATGTTAGTTTTATGCCAACATAAACTACTGTACAGTTACATTTGTGAGACACTGAGGTGGTTTGCATAAAATGACAATGCCATCTGATGTTAATCAGGTGTAATGTTTACCTTCATCATTTTAGATTTAATGTGTTGGCATGCTAACATTTGGCAACTAGCACTAAACTTCCACCTCAGAATTATATAAATGGGGTTAGTGTTGCAGGTGTTTAATCATAAACCAAAGTATTGTATGAATAAAAATTTGGACCCTGGTCACTGGGATTTATCCCCCGGGGATCATGGATGTTTGTACTAAATGTGATTATATCCTGGACCAAAGTGAGCCAACAAACACTGTCATTCTTGAAGCCATGCTGCCAACACAGCTCAACATGCACATGGCTCAGAGAACACCAGAAGGGCCTGGGAAAATTAATCTGGGTCCTGTTTCTGTTCTCCTAAAATGAATGTGCTCTTTCTGTGCCTGAGATCCAACCAGTGTTACAGTAAATTCCACAGCAACACAGCCGTGACGATAATGATATTACTTCCTGGGTTCGGGTTAAAAATTAATCTGTGAAAGAAGCTTTGTGAATTTTGTAAACAAGAGTGCGTTTTGTGTCGAGACTCACCTTTCCAGGACGAGGATTGAGCTTCCCATGTTTCTTCTCTTTAGTGAGCTAAGGATAAAGAAAAAAAAATTAGCAAACTAACACATATGGTATTTCAAAGCATTTTATTTTCATTTCCTATATCTGGATGAAATGTATTTATATGGTAAAGATCAAGATAAAAGCAGCCTCCATTACAGTTGCCATACAGTTCCCTCATTCCTCTCTAACCTGTTGCTTTCCAGTACTACCCCCACTGATAACAGCAGTTCACATCTGTTCTGAAAAGTAGAGAACTCCAATGTACCCAGCTAATAATGAATGAACTCATTGTCGAGTACTGTATATTTTAGGGTGTGGTTGGTATGCTGGTGTAATTTTGGCATGCTTAATTGTGCATTTTGGAATGTGGTAGCAGGTTACCACCATGCAACTTGTATATACATCGGCCAGAGAGAGGAGTGTGTGTGTGTTTGGTATCACTTGTCCTTTACTCTCTGGGAGCCCTGTAGGAAACAGGACACCATCTAGATCATGTTGCCAACCAAAGGGGACCTACTTTTGAAGCTAATACTTCTACTGTTCTCATTAGCATCCTTCCCTGCCTCAATTTAATTTTGAAAGAAGGTTCAATCAGATGTATTTAACAAAAAAGCCAATATCAGCCGGACCTTTCTAAACAGCAGCATTAAATGTTTGCAGTGAAAGTTAACCAAGAAGTTAACTGGCCCTGTGGTGCCTTTTCAGCACTGGGCTAGTAAATAAAAGAGTGACTCATTACTGTTCATAAACATACCATACAACCAAAAAACCCCACCCACACACACACACACACACACACACTCACACACTCACACTATTTCTCACCATAGGGCCACAAAAATCTTGAGCTTCCTTCCATTTCTAAATTTCCTACAATTGTTCTTGCACTGCATGCTCTAATGGAACCATGGGTGGAACTATTTCTACAGAACAATGGCGTTATAAGACATGCTGTCACGTTGCATAATCACCAAACTCTTACATTCCTTCAGATTTACATGGTATTGCAACCTGTATGACTATGACACCTGAGTCTGGGTCACAGGTCTTCTACAGTACACCTCAGCCCTTAGCAGCTGTGAAAATAGAACAGTACTGCACTGAAATCACAGGTACAGTCCCAAACAGCCTGCTATGAAACATTAAATACAAAGCAGAAATATAAATGCAACAGTCCAGCATTGATAAATGTTCACAGGGTATGTTCTGCACCTTGCTAAAGTAATTATGGTTTATTGAAAATTGAGCAAGTAAATGATGTTGTGTGACATGATGTTTGTACGTTATGTTGCCATCCAAAGAAAACCATATCCAAATGCTTTCTGGAGCCAATGTAAACTCACTTTCCCCATCCATTCCCTTCCCTCCAGCTGCCTGAGCACAAGATCTGCTCTCCCATTCAATTAGTTAATAGAGATGGAATGTGCAGTTTCAGCAAGTCACATATAAAAAACAAAACAAAACAAAACAAAACAAAACAAAACAAAACAAAACAAAACAAAACAAAACAAAACAAAACAAAACAAAACAAAACAAAACAAAACAAAACAAAACAAAACAAAACAAAACAAAACAAAACAAAACAAAACAAAACAAAACAAAACAAAACAAAACAAAACAAAACAAAACAAAACATGTGATACATATAACAGATGCAAAAAGCAAACAAAAACTCCTAGAAGGGGAAAGAATAATCACTTTGTCACCTTCTCTTCTGACCCTCCCACCTGCTCATCTGTCACTGTCAGTTCCATTTCATCAAATATCAAGCAAACACAGCAAGAAATGTGAGAATAAACACAAAGGATGAGGTGCGGTCTAGTCTCTGCAGGAACAGACAGATAGCTGGGATGGGTGGGGAGCCGTGCCGAGACTTCACAAAAAAGAAGAAGAAAGTGTGCCGAAAGGATTAAACTACTGAGGGGCTTTCACTCCCACCTGCTGAGAAAGTGTCACTGATGCATGAAGGAGTGCGGAGCAGGGTAATCCTATTAAAACTTTGACAAACAGACACACACCAGTCCTGTGCCGTGCTCAAAAATCCATTAAAAGTGTGTTTGTATTCAAGGGTCCCTGCTTTGTTTTTACAACACCTGATCCATTTATACATTCATTTTCTATTTCCTCTTTTAGTTGACAGAAGCAAAGCAGGACAAAGCTATAAAGTACATCCTTGTTAATACCCGTGTCACAGCGAGATGCTAACACGCTACTTCTGCTGATGAAAGCTCGTCATTGCCTGGTACATATAATACTACAGAAACTAATTTCTGCATTTTTCAGTTGCATTTATTTCAGATACTAAGTTTGTGGAAGTTTCTACTCAATGTAATAATCTCTGTAATGGCACAGCATTAGCATCATAATCACTGGTAAAAAGTTAGAGCCTTCTCAGATCAACTAACTCTTTTATAGATGTAATTAAAGGCAAAGATGCAGCTTTAGGTGTTTGCAGCACAGGTGGGATCATTTTACTGCTGCAAATTCTTGACAGAACAGGTTCAAACTCCTTGTGTTTGACAAAACTCTACTGCAGGCCCAAACCCCCTCATGTGAACCTTGTGTCAGCCTTAGTCAGTTAGTAACGTCAGCTGTGGTGCTATGTTTGGTAACCCATCATGTGCTGTAACAACACTCATAATGGTTAATTGTACTGGTTAGTACACGATTGTCAAATTCCGTAAAAGGTTTTATAGCTTCTTTGCAGCTGTAGAAAACAGAACAACTGATAACTGCTAATAGAAAGACAGGGAAGTGAGAGAGAAGGTGTGTGCACATGCATGTGTGAGCAGAGGCTCTCTTTCTTGCCAAGGAAAATCATCTTATTACATGTCCTAATATGTTAAGCTCTTCACATACGCACATGGACGCTTGCATGGAATAATACTTTCCCTGAGCTCAAGTCTGGACAGACGGTCTTTTCTGTCTGATTCTGTGATGCTCAGTGGGAACAGCATTTACCTGGTAGGGATTAATTTGATTTGATTTGATTTATTTATTCTTTCAAGCATGTAAAGACAGTTGATATATCAACACACATAATTTTACACATATCCAACAAATGCTAATCCAATATCAATTTGCTTATACCTAGTACATGCTTGAATGGAGTAGGAAGAAGTCAGACTTATCCAGTCCTACCCTATGACATCATCTTACCATCATTGGTTTGCAAGCAGTATCTCTACATAAATAATTCTCTTGTAGATCAGGTTTTTTCGCTTGGACTATACTTCCAAATGCTCCATTTTATCCGTTATGACTATTAGACTCTCACAAGTTTTGTAGACATCATCCCTTGTTTCCTTGGTTTGTATTTTCTGTTCACCCATGGCTGCTTTAATCACATCCACATCTTGCTGGGTAAACTGCAAACTCGCTTTTATCTCCTGTATTTCTCTGGTCATGTCGTCGAGTCTCTTATTTGTCTCCATAAGTAGTTGCACAAAACCTTTGAAGTTGTCTTGTTGTTGGCTCAACAGTGCGGTGTACATCTGCTTCTGCTGACTCAACATCTCTGTTACTTGCGCTGCTGAAATATAAACCTCTTCTGCCTAAACATTCTCGTTCGCTTCTGATTTATTAGCTCTTTTCCCTCTTGGAGGCATTTTAATAGTTGTAGAATTTGTTCAAAGACTTGAAAATGTAGAAGATGTGAAAAATCGTAGAACAGACAAGAGGAGCAGTAAACGTCTGCTCTCCCTTGCAACCCGGAAGGTATTCTAACACTACACACTGTCATTTTTTGGTAATGCATAGCTACTGACAGTCTGTGTTACTGAACCCATTAACAGCCACTTTCATTCTAAGGACCGATGGTGGTTTACAAATGTTTGAGTCATACTGTGCATATATGCTTTAGTAGTATGTGAAGGTATATATACACCCACGGAGAGAGGCTGTGAGCAACACACATAAGTAAACACAGATTGTACAAAAGACTTATGTACAGTATAAAATGTTAACACAAATGTGGCTGCCATTTCAAGCCTGACATAACCTTTCACTGACGACAAACTATACCATGTACAACCAAAACTGGAGGCTTCAAAAGCTCGGATAAAAATTCCCACTTACCCATATTGTAGTTATCAATAATAACTGCTTTTCTACAGGATTTCTTACACTTACCTTTGCCTTGGAGTACAAGAAAAATATTTTCTCTGAACGGACGCCTGCTCTAGATAAATTTGTTCTACACCCTATTCACCAAAAGGTAAAACCACAAGAAACCTTATAAATTTGAATATGCCCATTTTCTTGCCCAGATACAAAATAATAGCCATACTCACATAAGCATCAGGGAAGGCTCGGTATTTCAATGCTAAGCTCCTGTCAGGCTCAGCTTTTGGGCTCTGGAACTGAGCTCCACCAGGCACGTTGTTGAACAGTGAAGTCTGCTGGACACCGGCGGTACCCTCGCTACTGAAACTCCTCTGCAACATGGATTTGCCAAGTACCCCGGTACCTAGTCCTGTCCCCTGTGCCTGGCCAAATATAGATGGGGAGGAGTCTGTGGTGGTGAACGACCTGTGGAGGTCTATGGAGCCTGTGGGGCTCAAGAGACGAGTGGAACTGCTGCTGGTGGGTGGTGTGCTAATGTTAAATGGTGGAGGCCTGCTCATACGAGTGTTGAGGTCTTCAGCTCCAGTCAAGGAGCTTGACGAGGAGGATGAGGAGTTTACTAGTAAGGAGATACGCTCAAGGCGGGACCCTGCTGGGTCTGTCCCGGTGCTGAGTTCATTGAGCTCCTTCATTCCTCCACTGATGTGATCTTTTGAAGGCTGTACATCAGGCAGCGAGCTAGTACGGAAGAGTGAGTGATGGGTTTTTCCATTTTCCGGTGTCAGATCAATGGATGATGACCTGTAGCTTCGAAAGATGACACTGTTGTCTAGGCGAGAGCCTGTGCTGGAAGATGGAAGTACTCCATTCCCGTTCAGCACCGGGTGCTCAGTGGAAGAGTCAGCAGATGTTCCCATTACAATACTGTTGATAGCAGATGCTCTCAGGGGCAAGTTCGGGCCTTTTGCTCCAGACTGCTGCTGCTGGTCCTGCAGGTGGTTTGAGCACATGCGATAAGTAGAGCAATAAGTTCATTTGGTTCACTCAAGTTAGAAAAAGCCGTTCTCATGTATGTATAAATGGTATCTATCCATGGAAATTGTTTTCCTTTTATTAGCCCCAGGCTTTCAGTTATCCATCTTAGACTACAACAACAAAACAGAGGTGAGACCTGTGGGGATGACAGCTTTGAAAAATTTAAATAGTATTAACATCTCTTTTCAGACTCAGCAGCAAAGTTTCCTTCCAAATTTTTTTCATGACTAATTTAATTTTCCCCCATTTAATTTGGTGAATACTGGCAAATTTAACTGAACTGAAATCCGCTATAAAAAAATGTGAACTCATGTTTCTTGTCATTGGTTAAAAAGTCACATGCTTCAAATTTCAGTCAAGTGTAAAAGCTTTTTCGCAATATTTGACCTTTTCTTAATTCTACTACAGTTTTTTTTTTATTGTCAGGTAGAAAAGGCACATAAAACTGGCAGATGAAATGTTCTCCCACAGCAGCATGAATGAGAATATACCGTTTGATTGTTTTGATGAACCTTTAAAGAGCAATCAAACTAAACTTGGCACAATAATAATTTATATTAAGTCCTGAAGTCCTGAGCCTAAATGTTGATTTTCCTGCTCCACAGGTCAAATTTCACAGCTGTTTTTAGAGTCATGTAATTAATTCACATTACAGGGATTTTAAAAATGCATAGTTTAATTTACTGAAACATGGTTAATTAAAAACAACTTACTGAATTTCAGTCAGTGTACTTTACCTGCAGATTCTGCTTCATCATTTCTGTTGGTGAACGAATGTCTCTGGGGGAGCTCCTCTTCAGGCCCAGGTCAGCAGGCAGGGTGTAAAATCCATTGAGGGAATCAGCAGGGGTGCTTGTGGCTTCAGTCTTCTTTGTTGCGCTGGTTGTGGGGGCAATGATGTCAGAGGAGACAAAGCTGGGAGCATCTTCAACAATGGGAGGCAGGGAATTGAGGAGCAGAGGAGGTAGACGTGGGCCCATGCTCCTGGGCCTCATCGGAGGTCCCATGCTCTTCAGGGTATCCACCAGGTTTTCCATTTCAAACTGGCTGGAGGAGTCTGCATCGGGAGACTCAGGGGGGGTGGAGGGGGGAGCAGGAGGGTCAGAGTCCAGCTCCACAAATGTGGCCTTAAACACTCCAGTAAATTGAGATGCCTCGTCGTCGTCGTCGTCTTCCGTGAAACCGTCTATGTGGCTGCTTTGAACTGCTGAGGAGAAACTGGACTCGGGGAGCTGCTGTGAGTCCAGGCGTGACTTTATCCTCTGAGACTCTGTCTCTCCCTCTCTTTCACCTGCAGGTGCAACAGACTCCTCCTGCTCCACTAAACCCCTCCTCCACTCATCTTTCGGTTCTCCCACTGGATCCCTCTCATGGCTCAGAGAAACTTCGGTCCTGTCATTCAGCCTGTTGCCAAGGGTAATATGGTTCTCAGGAAAAGGGGAGGAGGAAAAAAACATGTCGCTCTGGTATTTGTATGCTGTAGCTTCTGGGAAAGCATAAGAGGAGGTGGTACTGGAATAGGTGTCAGACTTGCTATAACTCGGAGAGTCAGAAAAAGAGGTATCCTCTGGTTTATACTGAGAAACTCCATAAAATCTATTTTTCCATTTGTTCTCTGGGTCAAAATCCGTTCCATTCGATGCAGTCACAGTGGTGCTTGTTTTGCTGAAGTCCACTGTATCCTGGCTGATACTAGTGGTATCAGTTGTACTAATTAGAGATACTTTATGGATCCGATGCTTTGAGTCTTCCTCTTTAACAGGAGACAAGTTCCTCTTGGACAGTTTAGTGCTCAGGCTGCTGTAGCCTGAATTCATTTTGTAAACTAATTCCTGGCTGGCTTTTGTCTGCTGACTTTCTGAGGCAGCCGGGGGGTTCCGTGAAGGTGCCAGTGACCTGGACAAACACAGAAAGAAAGAACAGACAAAGATGACAAAAACAGAAATGACAAAAACAAGAGTCTGATCCATAATGGTAACCAGTCCACAGTGCGCTGCAGTGCCTCCAGGATGTGGTGACCATGTAATGACAACAATGCAAATTAAACAAGGCTACTTTGGATATCTGGACTTGACTCACTTCTTATCCTCATTTCTGGCATATACTTGTTTTAAAAAAAATTTGAACGTGATCATAAAAACTGGATAAGGGAAGAACAGTATGCAAATTCATTTAAATACAGTAACATTTTCAGCTAGGCTCACGCCAGCAACGATCTTGTGCTGGGAGGATCATGTCCACATCCACAAAACATTGTCAGCTGACAATTAAAAGCTACTCAAAATCAACACTTCTCCATTTACTGAGTAAACTCTTTGGCACAGTGCTGTGTGTGCTTTCTTTTTCTGTGCAGAACTCATTCAACACAGCCTTCAAAATGTAAGAGTGACTCCAGATGATAATAATACTACTACCACCAGAGGGTATTCAAAGGTCATGCCTCAGTGAATTACTTACTGTAACAATATTATGAAAAGAAAAATGACACTTAAAGGTCACAGTGTGCTGTGATTATGGGGATAATACTAATGCAAATATGTACCACACATAAGATCCTAAAAACCTGCACAGACTAAAACAGACTTAACACCAAAGGTAGGTTTTTCTGAAGACAACTTTGTTTAAATGTTCCTTCACACGTTCTGCTGACAGAAGGTGATTTTACAGCCGAAGGAATTCTTTACAAGCTTGTCATTCCACTTGCTTGTCAGGTAAGCTGTCAGACAACTGCTAGAAGGGGAAGCAAAGGACAAAGCTCAGTGTCTGAAGTCTGACTAAAGACCTTCAAGTAGCTCAGGTGGCTTCAAATCTACCAGAAGCATTTGCACACACCTGTCTTTTTCAAATTTAGATAAAGCAAGAGGAAAAACATCAATGAGTGAAAACAAACAAACAAAAAAAAAACTATATTACTCCTGATGACTGCATTACAGAGGAAGCCTGTAAAACAGGTGGAGCTGCCTTCCAATGAACATCACCATGTCTCTTCACCAGAAAATGAGGTCACAACTAGTGTGTTGGCAGGTTATGAGGAGAAAGTGTCTTTTTAAATTAAGACTGATGTTTCATTTTTTAATTCTAACACAAAACACAGGATGTTAAAAGGACAGGACATGGAAGACAGAACAATGTATACGAGTGTGAGGGTATGTTGTGATTGTCATTTCAGAAGCGCACACACAGTGTGGGAAGACTCGCGGTAATAAAAACAACCCCCTTCTTTCTTACACTACTTGGTATGATGTAACCAGTGTATTTCAGTTCCCCAGCTTTACTCGACCTGAACATACTGTAGCTCTACAAAAATCAGCTATTTTTTCCACCAAAGCAAGCAACTGTTTTGCATGTAAACAAGCCTTGTACTGCATGAATAATGCATGAACAACTGATGCACCATCTCAGTTTCTCATGATCTCATCTCTTATTTGTGTGTCAGTAGTATTTAATCCATCAGCCAGCATCTTCAGCTAAAGACACTGCTGCCATCTGGTGTTTTAAAAAAAATATATACTGTATACAGTGCACCACAATCACCAAATCATCTGCTATACCTGACTAAAGCATTTAAGTCATTTAAGACCAAATGCACCATTACTGTGACAACTAGATACACAACAATTTATGTTATAAATACTGGATATTTATATAAGAATTCTCATATGTCCTTTTGTTGTGAATGCAACAAGCATACTGAAGCTTTTCTCTGACGTGCACTAGATTAAGATTTGTGCTTTGTTGCCATTGGCTTTGTTCACTGTGGCTTCTGCAGTAAATATGCACCCGTCACATCATGTGCAAGAAGTTTCCAAAGAAATCTGGTCTTCTTGAGAATTCTCGCTTTTATCCTCTCGGGGCAAAAAAGGAAGTCATGCAACTGCTGACGCTTTCAACACAGACCGAACTATAGTAAGAGCCACTCAAGAAAACACATGCTAGTGCACAACAATAGATGGGAGAAGCTGTAAGCAAGAACATAAATGTGTTAATGCCAGAATAGATCTTGATCTTTTTAGTAAGGAGATTTGTTGTAAAAGTTTTAAACCATTTAGAAGAACAATAACACATAACTAATCACTATTTTTATGGTCAATTAGTAATTTTTAGAATTAACTGATCTGAGAAGCTGCCACCTGAAACCATTTGACATTTCCTTGACAAATGACTAACAATTATTAGATTATCAAAATTTTACCAACTGGTTTTCTTTTGATAGACAATTGCAAATTAACTGTTTTAATACTGCATGTATGCGAGTTCTGAGGTGTGCCACTGCTCCCATGATGCTCCGGGAATAAACGTGAGTTTGATAAAGACTTCACAGTGGGACCATAAACCAATCTGGCAGCCCCTGTGATGCATTCTTAAATATCACAGCCATGTATTGAGTCCCCAAACATTCTGAACATGCATAAACCTGAATGCTAATGCAGGAAGAGGCTTGAGAGATGAAGACAGGTAAAGTTGCTGAGAAGCAGGCAGTACTGTAACATCACAGACTCTGTAAT